TTGTCGGAAGAGGAGACTAACGGGATCGGGTGGTCAGGCTCGCTGACTTGGTTGCTGGATGTCATCGTATCCCAATTGCGTGGATCGATGCTCATGATGTCAATCACTGGATTGTCTGATCCAGACTCGATTATTTACTCCGATGCGACACCTTTTTGCATGATGTTAAACCCACCCTCAGAAGGTCAAGTCATATGGCAGATTTATAAAACGATTTGGCTTCACTTCATTATCGTTCCCCGGTCGCGTCATACCAAAAGACGTTAAAAGATGGTACTTGTTGTTACCCTGTCTGGACCTCGGCATCAAGGGGGAAAAAAGAAGGACTGGTCGGCTCGGAGTCAGTATACTGTGTCTGAGTGGGGTATTCATGTCAAACTGCGGCATGATATCTCAGTAGGCAAGCACTATAAATCGGCATTAGTCCGGACCAGTACAAGCAGCCACAAAAAATTCCACAATACAATGGCGTGGCCTCTTTTATTTACATTCTGAACTGGTCAAATAACTTTGTTTTCGAGATCATCAAATGTAATGATAGAAAAAAAGAGTTTCAGCCATAGTCAAGTGGTCCTTCATTAACAATTCAGCTGTTGATGTTTGAACAAAGACACAGAATCCATGGATTAAATATGATATTTTCCGGGTCCAAATCCCTTCAGCGTCGTCCCTCCTCGGTTGTACAAATACACACGCCTGTTTAGACGTATCCTTGTATGAAAGAAAAAAAGTTGCAATATGACAATGATTTATCACAGGTGCACTCAACACATGTCCATTGCATCCGCTTGTGAAACGTGCAAAACAATAAACCGTATTCCCCGTTGGCATTCCGGGTCAGGATAGGTCCCAGAAGACATGTTTGTCACCCCGAGGAGAGCCAGGGGCAGGATAGGTCCCAGAAGACATGTTTGTCTCCCCGAGGAGAGCCAGGGGCAGGATAGGTCCCAGAAGACATGTGTGTCTCCCCGAGGAGAGCCCGGGGCAGGATAGGTCCCAGATCACATGTTTGTCACCCCGAGGAGAGCCAGGGGCAGGATAGGTCCCAGAAGACATGTGTGTCTCCCCGAGAAGAGCCAGGGGCAGGATAGGTCCCAGAAGACATGTTTGTCTCCCCGAGGAGAGCCAGGGGCAGGATAGGTCCCAGAAGACATGTTTGTCACCCCGAGGAGAGCCAGGGGCAGGATAGGTCCAGGAAGACATGTTTGTCTCCCCGAGGACACCCCGGGACAAGATAGGTCCCATAACACATGTTTGTCACCCCGAGGAGAGCCAGGGGCAGGATAGGTCCCAGAAGACATGTTTGTCACCCCGAGGAGAGCCCGGGGCAGGATAGGTCCCAGAAGACATGTTTGTCACCCCGAGGAGAGCCCGGGGCAGGATAGGTCCCAGAAGACATGTTTGTCACCCCGAGGAGATCCCGGGGCAGGATAGGTCCCAGAAGACATGTTTGTCTCCCCGAGGAGAGCCCGGGGCAGGATAGGTCCCAGAAGACATGTTTGTCACCCCGAGGAGAGCCCGGGGCAGGATAGGTCCCAGAAGACATGTTTGTCTCCCCGAGGAGAGCCCGGGGCAGGATAGGTCCCAGAAGACATGTTTGTCTCCCCGAGGAGAGCCCGGGGCAGGATAGGTCCCAGAAGACATGTTTGTCACCCCGAGGAGAGCCCGGGGCAGGATAGGTCCCAGAAGACATGTTTGTCTCCCCGAGGAGAGCCCGGGGCAGGATAGGTCCCAGAAGACATGTTTGTCTCCCAAAGGAGAGCCCAGGGCAGGATAGGTCCCAGAACACATGTTTGTCTCCCCGAGGAGAGCCAGGGGCAGGATAGGTCCGAGAAGACATGTTTGTCACCCCGAGGAGAGCCAGGGGCAGGATAGGTCCCAGAAGACATGTTTGTCACCCCGAGGAGAGCCCGGGGCAGGATAGGTCCCAGAAGACATGTTTGTCTCCCCGAGGAGAGCCCGGGGCAGGATAGGTCCCAGAAGACATGTTTGTCTCCCCGAGGAGAGCCCGGGGCAAGATAGGTCCCAGAAGACATGTTTGTCTCCCCGAGGAGAGCCAGGGGCAGGATAGGTCCCCAGCACGTGAAGATCCGGGGTAGAATAGGCCGTAAAAGGCGACTTTACCTGTCGAAAGAGGCGACTAACGGGATCGGGTGGTGAGGCTTGGCTTGGTTCAAGATGCATGTCATCGAATCCCAATTGTGTGGATCGATGCTCATGATGTCATTCACTGGATTGTCTGTGTGGTGAGATGCACTGGTTTACAGTAGCTCATATGTTAAGAAATCCACAAAATAATTACACAACATGGATGCCCACATCTGTTTCATCATTAAATCAGCACAGAATGTCTGTCGCTTGTGTATGAAATCTGATTGGACAGATATTTATAGGGTTCAAAACTTTGCTGTGGTGGCGAAATGGTTCCAGGTATTTTTATAACAACATGGAGAGATAATACACTGGATGATCGAGGAGGGGTAAAAATGCAGATTCCGAAGGGTGAGTAAGGAGTTAGGTTTAACGCCACTTGGAACAGTATTCCAGTTATATCACGGTGTGTCAGCTTCATGGGGAAGAAAAGCTCGAAGTTATTCATGTTTCGGACGTTTACAACTTTGATGAAACCCACGAGCACGGGTTTGGTGCTGACACACCTGTTAACATTATCGGACGAATCGGGATGCCGAAGAACAAACAATTAATTTGCTGTGGCCTTATAGACCTAATGACTGGTTGTTAATGTTATAGCTGAAATGCTTAAATACTCTTGACCTGATATTATGCCTCATCTGGTTAAATGTTTCAATCGAGTTTTTGATGTAGGGGTTTTTCCTTCTGTCTGGTACAAATTTAGTATTATTATGAGAATGAAAATAAACAATCCCGACAATTTCCGGGGTATACCTTTCACATGTATTTTTTGGTATAGCATTTACTTATGTCATCAATAATAGATTAACACATTGGTAAAACAGGAGAGATTTGATTCACAAGGGCTATTCGACTTTTGACCACATTTTCACCTTGTATGGAGTCACTGATACGTATTTATGCTGCAGAAAACTAAGTTGTCTGTGGCCTTTGTTGATTTGGTATTGATTTGAAGGTATTTGATTCTATAAACAGAGATAAATAGTGAAGTTGTTTGAAAAATCAGAGTGTTGGAAGAAAATGTTTGCCATTGTTAAATCGATGTTTACAAAAATTAATGTAAAATCATGTGTTTGCTTTGGTGATAAGTGACTTTTTAAATTGCCTCATTGGCTTACGCCAAGGATGTTATTTAAGGCCTATACTTTTCTCATTATTATGTTACATGTTGTTATATGTTGATTTAATGCAGTCTGGTAGACACGGCAGCCAGCTCTTCCCGGATAAAATAGATCTTTTCATGCTACTTTTTGCAGTTGATGTGATTTTGATGGCTGGTACTAAGGCTGGTCATCAGAAGCAGCTTGCCATACTTTCGGAATATTCAGATGAAATGAAACTTAGTGCTAATCTTGATAAAACAAATATTGTGAAATTTCATTGAGGTGGCCGAGCGGCCTCAAGGGCGAAATATTTTTTAAAAGGTGATTCAATTAATGTTGTGAATGAATACAAATATCTTGGAACACTGTTGACTACACACTGACTGAATAAGTCTGTAATAAACCTATATACCAGAGCAAAGAAGGCTCTGTTACAAGTCGAGTCTGTTATCCCTTATTAGAGTTACTTCCCCGAAAATGTATTGTAAATAATTTGAATCTAAAGTACAACCTGTTTTACTTTATGTAAAGAGTTCTTTACAATTGAGTAGGTTCATCTCGTTTGTAAACAGCTTTAGAATGTTGGTATGTCAACACCAAGTGATATGGTTTGAGGAGAATGCGGTACATTCCCATCGTATATTCTATCTTGCACTCCTTGGTTAAAGTTTTGGTGGAAAATAATAATGCCAGAACACCGTTTACCTAAGAAAGCTTACAACATGTTTGTACCTCTCGGGACAGTGATGAAGACAATCTTATTGAAATGAGAGTTAGAATGACCCTCTACATCATCTTTGTTGTCCATACATCATGCGTTTGTTTTACGAAATGAATTTTTACCTTGACTTTGTATCCCATAAAGTTTGCTATGTAACTCCGTTGTATATGGGCCTGTGGTCTTTCATACAATAAATAGTTGAATTGTGTTGACTTCGACACAACCGTAGTATCGAAAAATGGGATAAGAAGCCGGACCGTTGACAATTCAACACCTTTCCCAAATGAATCGGGGGTACAGGTGGCCCATCAGTCTAAGGCCCTGTTGTTGTTGTTGTTTGTTGTTTAACGCCGAACTCAGCAACATTCCAGCTATATGACGGCGGTCTGTAAATAATCGAGTCTGGACCAGACAATCCAGTGATTGACATCATAAGCATAAATCCACGTAATTGGGATACGATGACATGCATCAACCAAGTCAGCGAGCCTGACCACCCGATACCGTTAGTCGCCTCTTACGAATAGGTCCCCAGTAACGTATGCCAGTTATGTCAGAAAGAGGCGACCAAATGGATCGGTTGTCAGGCTCCGTCATTTACAGGTCGCCGTCATATAACTGGGATAATGCTGAGCACGGCGTTAATCAACAAACCAAAGAAGTAAACGTTTAAGACCTACAACCTCCAGGCTTTCCTCCCACACTAAGCTAACACGCCGCGATATAACTGAAATACTGTTCAAAACGGGGCTAACCCAAAGTCACCCACTCACCCGAAATGAAATAGTAAGCTTACATGTATGCGTGACGCGACTAACCAATATGCTTAATATCTATCCTTCTTTTTGTAAAAAAAATAGAAATATTACGATGAAAGACGCTCATTACAAACGGTTAACCACAGCAACATTATTCGCTATCCGGATCAAACGATAAAGGCCGATGTGACATTCTCGGCAGTATGTTGCAATATAAGTGTCCCAGTGTTATCTATAAATTCAGGGCTGGGCGACAAACGACGAATTGCGGAACATGTTTCGTCTTTGTATCCGTCCGCGAAGCAGAGATCCTTGTCACGTGACCTGTGTTTATATAGCCCGTGCCGCAACCAAAACCGGACTCAGACCAAACACTACCCTGCTACGCTAATGTATTCCAAGCCTACGGTAAGTCGCGCTTGCATGCCAACTGCATGGGATTATAATCTTTGAATGATTTCATTACCGCCTACATTACGCCTAGTTAGACCTAGGAACGCTGCAGCGTGCTTGCAGATTTGTTGAATTCCTTCCACAAATTGTTTATTGAATAATTTGTGAAAGGTTACGTTTCCATTTTGGGACTTGTTTTGTGTAAGTGATAAGTATATTATAGATGCTGGAGGGCAATGCCTCTCGCCCAGAAACGTCACTATTGTCTATATGCAGCTGTCATTTATTCTGCCGAGGTTGAATGGCATGTTTGCCCAAACCGCACCGTTATTTTATTTTCGCGCTTACGCAGCTGGGTAGGAAATCACTGAACTGACCTGTAATTTGATTGCATTTAATTTCCAGATGAGCCCGAAGTCAAACGCTTCAAGTGGGATATGCGCCTCTGCATCAACTGAAGTCTCCTCCTGTAAGGTAAACGGAATATCTTAGCAATATGTATATAGTTTAAGATTCTTATGTAGTTAGTAAGGATGAGATATGTGGATGAACACCATCTATATTACAATGTTGTAATTGTAATAAAGATTTTTTCATCCATATACTTTATCCTTACTCAGTACTCCAACTTCTAAAAGAGGTTATCTATATAGTCGTTTCACACAATTACTACAAGTTCTATTTTCCAAAATAATAACTTTTCTTTTTACTGCAATTCACTCAAGAAATACAATTAAACTCCGTTAATTCATATGTTGATAGGGGCGGTCGGGTAGCCTAGTGGTTAAAGCGTTCGCTCGTCACGCCGAAGACCCGGGTTCGATTCCCGACATGGGTACAATGTGTGAAGCCCATTTCTGGTGTCCCCCGCCGTGATATTACTGGAATATTGCTAAAAACGGCGTAAAACCATACTCACTCTTTCATATGTTGATAAAAAACTAAAATAATAAAGTTTTATTAAAGAAAGTAATGTTGTATTGATGAAAATGACTAGTATATGAATATTCTATATAAAAATAAATGTATCGAGAAGTCTATAATAATTAAAAAAATATCAGAACATATGTTTTTTCGTATGGAATGTAATTAAAAAAATAAATGAGAATCATCATTTGTTAACTTATGCAAATATTCATAAATAACTCTGGTTACCCCGCCGTAATATTGCTGGTATATTGCTTAAAGGGTCGTGTGTGTATATACAATTCGTATCAACCCGCGTTCAGGTTCTATATCTCCCAAGATAACCTCTGTCGCAATGCCGTGTTATCTTGACAAATGCGCACAGCCTTATCGGGAAGTTTCCTTAGATCACGAGAACACTATTTGCTAACTGTCATTGTTACATAGATATCATTTCCTGTCGTTTCTGAGCAAAGTCCAGACGTAGTGCAGCAGCAAAGACACTGTCGTCACGTCCAGGGACCCGTTCCACAAAGCGATCTTAGCCCTACGACTATCACGAACCTATGTCAAAGTATGGGAGTTACGATCGTCTTAGCGTTAAGATCGCTTTGTGGAACGAGGCCCGGTAAGAAATCGCGGGCACATGTGGCACAGTCGACTAAGGCGTTACAATTCGCTGTGCAGAGTTGCGCCATCCTTTGGTCCTGAGTTCGAATCCAAGATTCGCCCTGCTTGTGATTCTAGGTTTATCAGCTCAACATTGTATGAAATCTTTATAGCAAAAGAATTGCAACAGTGTTGCAAAAAATAGGTCTTGGATAGCTCCAACAATTAAACAAATAGATAAATCCCGTCTTGTTTACCGCATGAACACACAATGCCATTTAGAAAGTGGTCAAATGTAACAAATGTTATATTTGGGATAACACTTTCTGAGTAAAGTACAGATTCTCGTACTTTTTGGGGGTGAGTCCCGTCCGGGATTCGAACCCACACTGCCAGAGTGAGGCACCTAATCGCCAGCAAACATAGTCAGCGATCTAACCCACTCAGCCATCGAGGCTTCCACAAAATGAAAGCCCAACAACTGGTAGCCTAGATCACGTACTTTGTATACCCCTCTGACAAGTGTAAATTGGTGGAAGCATCGGTGGCTGAGTGGGGTTAGATCGCTGACTTTGTGTGCTGGCGATTAGGTGCCTCACTCTGCCGATGTGGGTTCGAATCCCGGACGGGACTCATCCCCAAAAAGTATGAGAATCTGTTCTTTACTCAGAAAGTGTTATCCCAAATATAACATTTGTTATTTACTGCAGTTAGCTGTTTAACGTCAATTGAAGGGGAACTGTAAACATAATGTGTAGAGTTGCTTCTGGGTTTTCTTATCTCAATAACTTTTATCATTTTCGTTTACATATATAATAAAGAAATGAAACTGAATTCGTTTACATATACACATACGACGTCTCTTCAGTTAGATGGACATCTATGTAATTTTCCCATGTTATAATGTGTATAATACCAGAATGAACGCTAAATAGGTTGCTCTTATATAAAATATATCTGTGGATACACATTTAATACTTCGCTGTAAAAGTACTTCAAATATAAGTAAATTGGAAGTAAGTGGTCATACCCTGAGAGCGCCAAACCGGCCATGTTATAAGAGTTATTGTATAGACTTTGAACCTACATACATATATACGGGCTATAATTAACACTTACACTATGGATTACAACTGCAGTTTGTAAGGCAGGTATAAATTGTTACTGTTCGCGTTTTATTATAGTCAGTATTATACGAGGAAATGGCCTTTAACGTTGATAGTGTCCTAATATATTTTTCAAATGTTCGACGAAACATACCTGGGATTGTCTCTTTTTTATGAAAGGAGTCTGTATGACGTATAACCGTCGCTCCCCAAACCAAATACAATGTGTCATTAGCACCTGGGAGTGTTTTCTATTGCCATGGTTTCTGCCATTCTAACACGAGCCATCGTCAAACCTATACTACTGCGATGTGCATACGCAATGAGATAGGTATGGCAACTACGATGTATTGTACCCTGGATAGAAACTGACACAACTTAAGGATTATTTAAGGCAGTCCCTCCCCAGAATGCAGACCAACGGTAAAGTGAATTGCGGTCTGTGGACAATCGAGTCTGGACCAGACAAACCAGTGCCTAGAATTTTTGATTTTTTTATAGAAAACAGTTTTATTTCAATCAAGTTGGGGACAAGTGATACTTGTACACATATTTGCACCCCCTGTCAAAAAAAGTTCACTACGGCCTTGCAAACCAGCGTCTGATAGCTTAGGCAACGATCCTCCCCATTGGGCGCCATGACATGCAATTAGACAATATAGTTCAAACCACACACACACACATTATATAAACACACATATGCATATATATGAATAAATATGATATGATATGATATATGATATGATATGATATGATATGATATGATATGATATGATATGATATTGAATACATTGATATACACACACGTGTGTGTGTGTGTGTGTGTGTGGCTGCTTGTACTAGTCTGGACTAATACCGATTTTATTGTGCTAGCCCACTGAGATACCATGCCACAGTTTAACATGAATACCCCACTCAGACACAGTATACTGACTCCGAGCCGACCAGTCCTTGTTTTAGCCCCTTCATGCATGATGAGCGCCAGACAGGGTAACTGAAAGTACCTTTTTTTAAGTTTTTGGTATCACGTGGCCAGGGATCGAACTCTGGGCGGACGCCCTACCACTAGACCACGGAGGCAGTCAAAATACTCGGAAATGCATCATATATATGTTGTCTGCAAGCAGTATGTTTCACCTGTCAGGTGCGTGTTTCAATCACTCAAAGTGACAGGTCATCAGCTGTAATCATCATTGTTTAACAATCGAGTAACTCCTTAGGTTAAAAACGGGACAAATGATAGATGGCTGTATGGTGCTGAGATGAATGTGTGCACGCCTCGACAGGGGAGAAAAAACACTGATATACTAGTAACACTCTTGAAATAAGAAGAAAACACCAAAGATTGAACATTTGACAAGTCGGTAGAACTTTGGCCTGTGAGGTCATCCATGCTCTCTGACATATATTGTGAAAAATGACATGATATTAGCTGTCGAAGCAACTGGCTTGACTGTATTTTTGAATTAGATAAACAATATTTGTGAAAAGCCCGGGCTTCATATAACCCACATGACATTGGTACAGTGTTGAAATGTGGTTGATCTGAGGTTAATAAGCTGAAAATCATAATTTCGCGAAAATTGAAACAATTAAGGAGCGATCCCTTGCAAGTGTCTGACAGACCCACAGTGACATCGGACCCGCAGCATTTCTCCCTATGTATGGAAAGGGTCTTCAATGTGGAGAAATTGGCCTGCTCTCGACACGGGATGAACCGGAGAACTCAGTCAGCGCCCTCTAGTATGCAACTCAGGTTGGGAACCCCTGAAGATCCGGATGAGAATAGGGGGCACGGGTGGCCCAGTCGTCTAAGGCGCCGCGATTCGCTGTGCAGAGTTGCGTCCCTTGGGCACGCCAGAAACCTATGATTGTGGGTTCGAATCCCGGTTCGCCCCGATTATGTTTCTAGGTTTGTCAGCACCATACCCGTGCTCGTGGGTTTCACCGAAGTGGTAAACGTCTGCGACCTGCATCACTTCGGGCTTTCCTCCCACGTTAAGCTGACACGCCTTGATATAACTGGAATACTGTTAAAAGAGGCGTTAAACCCAACTCACTCACACCGGATGAGAATAGGTCTTCAGCAACCCATGCTCGCTGTAACAGACGACTATGCTTGTAAGAGGCCACTAACGGGATCGGGTGGTCAGGCTCGCTGACTTGGTTGATGCATGTCATTGATCCCAATTGCGTGGATCGATGCTCATGATGTCAATCACTGGATTGTCTGGTCCAGACTCGATTATTTGCAGACCGCAGACCGTCATATAGCTGGAATATTGCTGAGTGCGGCGTTAAACAACAAACTCACTCACTCACTCACGTATAGCACATACAGTATGTATTCAATGAAGGTCAATGAAGGTAACATGCTTTTAATAAGTGATTTAGACACTTTAACGTATATATTAATGTATTCGAATGTAAAATGAATCTGGGCAGATGTTTCATAGTGGATATATTTTTTAGTGAAAACGTTTTATGTTTTTTACATATATGCACGACGTGAAGATTCCGGGTTATAATTGGTCTTCAACAACCCATGCTTGTCGTATGAGGCGACTAACGGGATCGGGTGGTCAGGCTCGCTTTGTTTGTTGTTTGACGTCTGTAAATATTCGAGCCTGGACCCGACAATCCAGTGATTGAAATCATGAGCATCGATCCATGCAATTGGGATACGATGACATGCATCAACCAAGTCTGACCATCCGATCCCGTTAGTCGCCTCTTACGACAAGCATAGTTACTTTTTACGGTAAGCACGGGTTGCTGGAGACCTATTCTAACCCGGATCTTCACGGGACGGCAGAACACTGATATTCAGTGATCCATTCATAAAATGTGTATCGCTATTATGCCTTTTACGCCCAATAGAAAATAGTTTGTTGGCAGTGGCGAAAAAAATGTTTGTTTTGTGTAAATACCCAAACGTCAAACTTTTTGTGTTAATAGTGAAAATGAATAGATTGCTTGATTGTGCTCAGTAAATAAATAGTTTGTTAGATACAGCTGGGAAAAAATATATTGTTCTCAAAACACACACACACGCACCATAGAAATTATATGGATGTCCGCTCACTGAAAGTCAATACAGTAAAGTAAGGTTATAACGAACTCAAAGGGACTACTAATGTTAGTTCGTTATAACCGTAATTCGTTATAAGTATATATATACAGCATGACTACAGCAAATAGTCGGGACCAAAAAAGTAAGTTCGTTATATCCGTCAGTTCGTTATAAGCGCGTTCGTTATAACCGTAGTTTACTGTATAGTCATTACATCGACCTGAGAGAATGGAGAACTAAGGTTTCTGACGGGTATGATGTTTGAATGGAGTTCTTTTCACGTCACCGACTCCCATGTTGCCACTGATGTACTACCACGGAGCATGGGTTTAAGGGGTAAAAAAAGACCCATCGCTATGTACGGGGGTGGCTGACACGTTCTGATCCTAGCTATGATGGACTGGTTGATGGAGATGGTTGCTGTATATTTTTTAACATAATCACCACCGAAGTCCACACACGTCTGACAACAATGCTGGAGTGCCTGGATCTCGCTGGTCCACACCTTTCGGCCAACAATGCTGGAGTGCCTGGATCTCGCTGGTCCACACCTTTCGGCCAACAATGCTGGAGTGCCTGGATCTCGCTGGTCCACACCTTTCGGCCAACAATGCTGGAGTGCCTGGATCTCGCTGGTCCACACCTTTCGGCCAACAAAGCTAGAGTGCCTGGATCTCGATGGTCCAAACACTTCTCCCAAAAATGCTGGAGTGCCTGGATATCGCTGGTCCACACCTTTCGGCCAACAAAGCTAGAGTGCCTGGATCTCGATGGTCCAAACACTTCTCCCAAAAATGCTGGAGTGCCTGGATATCGCTGGTCCACACTTCAGCAAACAATGCTGGAGTGCCTGGATCTCGCTGGTCCACACTTCAGCCAACAATGCTGGAGTGCCTGGATCCAAATGATCAACACACTTCTGCCATCAATGCTGGATTGCCAGGATCTCGCTGGTCCACACACTTCTGCCAACAATGCTGGAGTGCCTGGATCTCGCTGGTCCACACCTTTCGTCCAACAATGCTGGAGTGCCTGGATCTCGCTGGTCCACACCTTTCGTCCAACAATGCTGGAGTGCCTGGATCTCGCTGGTCCACACTTCAGCCAACAATGCTGGAGTGCCTGGATCCAAATGGTCCAAAAAAACTTCTACCGACAATGCTGGAGTGCCCGTATCTCGCTGCTCCACACACTTCTTCCAACAATGCTGGAGTGCCTGGATCTCGCTGGTCCACACCTTTCGTCCAACAATGCTGGAGTGCCTGGATCTCGCTGGTCCACACTTCAGCCAACAATGCTGGAGTGCGTGGATCTCGCTGGTCCACACTTCAGCCAACAATGCTGGAGTGCCTGGATCCAAATGGTCCAAAACACTTCTGCCGACAATGCTGGAGTGCCTGGATCTCGCTGGTCCACACACGTCTGCCAACAATGCTGGAGTGCCTGGATCCAAATTGTCCACACACTACTGCCAACAATGCTGGAGTGCCTGCATCTCGCTGGTCCACTCACGTCTGCCATCAATGCTGGAGCGCCTGGATCTCGCTGGTCCACAGTCTTCTGCCAACAATGCTGGAGTGCCTGGATCTCGCTGGTCCACACACGTCTGCCGACAATGCTGGAGTGCCTGGATCTCGCTGGTCCACACCTTTCGGCCAACAATGCTGGAGTGCCTGGATCTCGCTGGTCCACAGTCTTCTGCCAACAATGCTGGAGTGCCTTGATCTCGCTGGTCCACACACTTCTGCCAACAATGCTGGAGTGCCTGGATCTCGCTGGTCCACACACGTCTGCCGACAATTCTGGAGTGCCTGGATCTCGCTGGTCCACACCTTTCGGCCAACAATGCTGGAGTGCCTGGATCTCGCTGGTCCGGAGTCTTCTGCCAACAATGCTGGAGTGCCTGGATCTCGCTGGTCCACACACTTCTGCCAACAATACTGGAGTGCCTGGATCTCGCTGGTCCACACACTTCTGCCAACAATGCTGGAGTGCCAGGATCCAAATGGATAATCTTATGTATTTCATTAGTGGTGGCAGTGTCTTCATGATTTTGGATGATCTTCGAGGCTCTCTCTTCCCCTCGTGATCTCCGCTGCCAAATTCTCACCAGTGGCAAAGGAAGGGACGCCACCCCCAACAGTTGACACCATGTCCACATGGAAGGCTGTTGGAGTTTGCCCTTTCAGGATGAGTGAGTACGCCGCTTCTTCCAATATTCTACCAATGTCACGGCGGGGGACACCAGAAATGGGCTTCACACATTGTACCTATGTCGGGAATCGAACCCGGGTCTTCGGCGTGACGAGCGAACGCTTTAACCACTAGGCTACCCGACCGCCCCTTGGCGGTTGGAGATACTTGGTGAGAACACGGTAGAGCCAATTTTGTCCATTTTCATCAACAGAGAATATCTATAGTCTCTTTGATGCCTGCAGACATATGCTGCCTGGTTGTGTACTTGAAAACAGCCTGTCAGCGTGGGAAGTATTGTACATAATACAGGTAAACTGTTAAGGGTGTTCTATACATCCTTTGTAGATATAGTGGATGGTGCAAGGTGGGTATTAATACCCACCTTGCACCATCCACTATATATCCAGGGCTAGCATTTCGGTAAATCTAAACCCCTGGATCCATTCCTGTGGTTCTTGCGATCAGAAATTACCAGCCCTTGATTTTCAAAAACATTTTACCGACCAATCAAACGCCGACAAAAGGGAAATGGTAAGGGAGGGTTACTTGTAATACCTAACCTGTCCCGGAATAACACGAGTTGGTCACGAATGACCAAGAAACAAAAACCACCGCCAGTTTAATGGACGTAAAAACATCCTTTCACTCAAGAATTTTTAGGGCTTTGTTTTGCGTCTCAGTCAGTCTTTCAATGTTGACTTTCTCGCAAACTCGATCATAATCAATGGGACTGGCCACCCAACATTGAGGCTGGTTCGTAACTTACATTATGAATGGTACGTTAGACCTGGTAGCGTTGCCAATCAAATGGGCAAAAGGAATCAAGCGCGGGTAGTTTGAGATTGCGAGAACAACGGGAATTGATCCTGGGGTCTTTATATGGTCTTTATAGGAAGCAACAAGTCGATGGTCAGCCCCCTTGGCTGCCTGGAATCCCCTGGTCCCGGGATGGAATCCCCTGGTCCCGGGGTGGAATCCCCTGGTCCCGGGGTGGAATCTCCTGGTCCCGGGGAGGAACCCCCTGGTCCCGGGGTGGAATCCCCTGGTCCCGGGATGGTATCCCTTGGTCCCGGGATGGAATCCCCTGGTCCCGGGATGGAATCCCCTGGTCCCGGGATGGATTCCCCTGGTCCCGGGATGGTATCCCCTGGTCCCGGGATGGAATCCCCTGGTCCCGGGGTGGAATCCCCTGGTCTCGGGATGGAATCCCCGATTCGCCCTGATTATATATGTCAACACCGTAGCCATGTTCGTGGGTTTTACGAAATTGATAAACATCTACGACATGAGATTTTCTTTCAGTATGAAGCTGGCGAATAATAATAATTGATATACTTTCAAAGCGGCGTTTTTTAAACTCAACTCACTCACTCACTCTGTTTCAGATGACCTGCTCATCACCAGGTTGCGAGCGTGACTATAAGGGTCGGGAAACAAAACTGGTGAGTTATATATTTTCAGACTTTGCCTGGGCCACAGTGGACGATGAGCCAGAATGGACCAAGATGGATCACAATGGATATAGATCACTTGGATGGACCTTGATGGACCATGATGGACCATGATCCATGAATCGGAATGACTTGGATGAGGGTAATGTGGATCGATCAGTACTGGGAGTTATAAGTGTACAGTATCTGTTCAGGATAGATATCGTAAGTACGTTCTGGGTACGTATATCACCACATCCTCATCAACACCCCCATCCCATCCACCCACATCAGCATGTAGGGAACTAACCTAGACGCGTCCCTGGAACGGCTGTCCTGGAGAAGATGCGAACAGACACTAACACTGCGTCATCCGTAGCTCCATTGCTCACGTAGGGCCAAACAGGTTGCCGGGAGCTGATGTCGACGGAGCAGGATGCAGAGACGAGGGAGTGCCAGGATGCCGCAATCATCAAAGAAAGGACCCCTGGTCCTTTGCGTACATTTTGCAAATTTTCCCATATGTACTTTGAACCAATTATTCAAAATAGATGAAACACCACGTTCTCTTATAATGATTTTTCTATTTAAAAAATTACGCCAGACGCCTTTTTTAAACGTATATTTTTCAAATGAATGAGAGAAGTAATATTAGGTTTAAAAAGTCAATCAAATATAAGAGAGAACAAAGCAAGCACACAGAAGAGAACAACGAAGAAAAGAAACAAGGTTCATCTTACTCAATGGGGAAAGTTGCAAGTCTTTGTCTTTCAGGGGATCGTCTGCAGTGATCTGATCTTATGGGATCAAACACAAACTAGATTTTTTGAACGGATGCTCATGCGCCATGTGTCCTATCTGTGTTGACAGCTGTAAACGCCACCACCGTTGGTCCAACACCTCCCAGCTCCGGCACCGTCGAGAGGAAGGACATAGAATGCACAGCGGGGTGAGTACACGAATCGCATTCCAAGAATTAGAAGTGAGTGAGTTGGGTTTAACGCCGCTTTTAACAATATTCCAGTTATATCGCGACGTGTCAGCTTAATGTGGGAGGAAAACCTGAAGTGATGCAGGTCTCAGACGTCCCCCCAAGAATTAGGAAGGGTCATTGCAGCTGTGGGCGATTCAGCTTTCCCGTCAACCGTTTCGTTTCACACGCAGTTTCGTATTTCAGTATTTACCGGTCATGAATTACATGCCGTACACTTGATCGTTGGACAGTCTTACCGACGACCCATGCAGGGTACCCGGATGAATGTCTTCATATAAGCTCCAATTAATATTGCTATTTGCTATTATATGTTTTATATATTGATTATGAATATAAAGTAACGGGATTGGGTGGTCAGGCTCGCTGACTTGGTTGAGGCATGTCATCGTATCCCAACTGCGTGGATCGATGCTCATGATGTCAATCACTGGATTGCCTGTTCCAGACTCGAAAATTTACAGACCGCCGTCATACAACTGGAATATGGCTGGGTGCGTCGTTAAACAACAACAAACAAACAAAAAAATGTATTGACATAAGCTTTTTAGCTCCATAATTCTTTCTTATGGCTGACACAGTGCCGAACATAAATATTTGAACTCACTCATGACATAAAGTTCAAATTAGTTTCACAAATCTAAAATTTAGAACTTAGATAAAGGTTTATTTTTGAAAAAAAAAAAAAAAATTGTGTGGCAGCACCATGGACATCCACATCCCCCGGACTCTGCTCCCCACCCACAACGTGACCCTCCGTGACCCCACCTGCGTCGTCCCCTCCAACGGGACCCACCTCGTCATCAGCATCTCCTTCAACCAGTGCGGCACCACCGTCAGCTTCAGCAACGACACAGTCGTTTTCAGCAACGAGCTCGTCGCCACCGTCATCCAGGCATCCCACCCCTCCAGCATCGTCGACTACGGTCTCAGCAAGGACGATCAGCGAGTATCTCTCGAGTGCGTCTACAAAAGACATAGTAGCGTGGAACTGGACTATATGCCAATGATGAGAGCGGCGCACTTTTATGAAAAACGGTAAGCGCTGAATAAAGCATGTGCTCCTCTGTCGCAAGGGTCCCATTCTTTAATATTCAGTACTTTCTGAAGAAAAAAACAAGTCGATGTTTGCAATAATCGTCACAATTTGAAAATTCATGTAAATGTCTCAAGATGTGGCAATACTAGATACAATTCGTTTGTGAAAAAACAATTGATGATGTCAAAATTTGGTGATGGTAGGTGAAATGGGGTTTAATATCGCGTCAAAGATTATTGCACTCATATAGCGACGTGCGTGCACGTGTGTGTGTGTGGCTGACATTGGCCTCAACAATGAGTGAGTGAGTAAGTTAATATTTAAAGTCACATCGGCAATATTTCAGCCATATCGTGACCTCAACAATGAATTTCAATGGTTTCGGTGTCCATAGAAGTAGAACTTTGACAATTTGAACGTTTACTCTGGATGCATTGATAAGTATGATTAGTGACTGAGATTATTTTTAGCAGAAAATAACGAAAGGGTTAATTTTTTTATCAAGATGGACCCATGCAAGTGAATACTGACTTTTCAGGTCCTTGTAGATTGATATTCAGTTGCTAAATCTTCATATTTTAAAAACGCTTTGTTCTCGATTTGTACCCGACTTTCCGCTCTCCGGGCGGATGCTCTACCACTAGACCACGGAGGCGGCCCTGTCAAAACTAAAATTTACAACAAATATTAAAGATTAAGAATCGCAATGCAGCTTTATGTAGTTGTTCACCTTGTCGTGGCTCTATTTGAAGGTACGGTAACCTGGACTTCGCAGTAAAGCATTATACCGATGAACAGTTCACCACGGAAATTGCCAACACCGACATCCCTACCGGCGTCAACCTCAACACCGAAATCTTCATCGACCTGGTCGTGGATCAGCATCAGACCAAGGACATCGGCATCTACGTCCCGAGCTGCTTTGCCACGCCCACACCCTCGCCAACCGACCCACTCTTTTATCCGCTCATTAGGTCAAGGTAAGGAAAGATTAGTACGGATAACACAATGTCTGATCTTCCCTTATAAGGTGAGGGTCATTCAAACAGACGACCAATTAAACGCGCTCTTAGAATCAGGCGAGACATTGTCATCTACGTGTTTTGTGATCTGTCTTCATCCAGTAAAAAAGATCTGAGGACATCCCATTACGGGTTACGTCAGACCGACCTTGCGCGAACTTTGACCGACCAATAGAATGACCAATCAGAAGGCAGCTTTCTCGTGCTTTACGGCACTAATTTCAAATTGGCGACTACGCTTCGAAACATATTTTGACAAATTCTCGATTACAAATTTGAAACCTGAACAAAAGAACATTCTGGAATGGCTAATAGATGGACTAGATTGTATGGATTCAGTCGTTAAACCTGTAACTATCGTTCGGAATACCCCGTGTTAAAGTTTTCGAGGTTGTATGATTAGAAATCACATTCCGACCGACACTTTCATGATCTGGTAAGAGACGCTCTCATTGGTCGGATGAAAGGTCGTTCTGACGTGACCCCTAATGGGATGTCTTCAGATCTTTGTTTAGCGGTAGCGAGAACTAAGGTCTGGTTTTAATGAGATTGGGGCAGGACATGCTTACCCTTTCGCGAACACATGGTGTAATCACCGGTTTTCAGTGATCCAATCATTTAATTTCAGGGCGGTCGCGTAGCCTAGTTGTTAAAGCGTTCGCTCGTCACGCCCAAGACCCGGGTTCGATTGGGTACAATGTGTGAAGCCCGTTTCTGGTGTCCCCCGCTGTGACATTGCTGGAATATTGCTAAAAGTGGCGTAAAACCATACTATGTGACTCACTCATATAATTACATCGCTATTTTAACTTTAACGCCCTATGGGGTTTTGGGGGATAATCAAGAGTAGCTATTCTTTGGCGTTAACGGGTTTTTTTCAAGGTCAGCCAAGTCACACATTGTGGCTATCCCATTATTAATCGGCTCACAAGTTTTGATTGTAAGGTACCTATTCCGACCCTCAATCCAGACAATGTTGTATTGGCATCCAACTGAAACACATTTAATCATTTCCAGCTGCCCGGCCCAGGCCGACGTGAGAAGATTCACTGCGCCAGACATCAACGAGTTCCGGTTCAGCTTCCTGGCTTTCAAGTTCACGCGGGCCCCCATGCAGAAACCCCACGCCTCCATGCCCGCAGTGCCCATGGTGTACATTCACTGTCAGGTGTCGGCGTGCCCGAGAGGAAACTGTACCTCGTCCTGCAACAGCGCCAACGGCGGTCGTATGAAGAGAGCGGCGTTGGGAGAAAGCTCCCACCTAATCTCTTCTGGTCCATTCTACTTGAAAACTGACGAAAGTGAGTACAGTCTTTAAAAGCTGATAACTTTTTGACCAATTAGTTTTTACTCTAGGGTTTCTATTTTATTGGGTTATTCCATTGGGTAACCAATATGTTTTCACTCATCTATTCATCACTCTATTGGGTATTTCCCCAAAAGAGTGAACATTTTAAGATGAAGTAATGAAGTAATGTTTTTGATGTATATAACTGTTCTAAATATATGAGCTTGACTCAGTAAATTAGCTCGGACATTGGCTCATTTGTATGCTGTTATATACATTGAGTTCTTCATTTCATTTAAAGTTAATTGAAAGTAATTGGGTTGTAAATTTTTTATTTTTTATTTTTATTATTATTATTATTATTATTATTATTAATTTTTATTTTTTTAAATTTTATTTTATTTTTATTTTATTTAATTTTATGTTTGTTTGGTTGTTTTTTCTTTTTTTGGGGGGGGCTTATCTGTAGCCCTGGTGACTCTTTGAAAGCCGATACACACAGACCTTATTACAGTAAATGTTCCCGAGTATTCAATGTAGTGTAATGCAATAATTTATAAAAATCAAAATGTTTTGACTGACGCCCCTTTGAACAGTATTTCAGTTATATCACGGTGCGTCAGCTTAATGTGGAAGGAAAGACCAAAGTGAATCCATCTGTATGGTTCTGACATACCCAGATACATAATCGGGGCGAATCGGGATTCGAACCAAGGAACATAGGTTCTGGTTCGTCTAAGGGAAGAAACTGAGCACAGCGAACTGTAGCGCCTTAGATTACTGGGCCACCGGTCACACTCACTCGCTCATTGTTTGATGTTTTCCTGATACCTGAACGATCACATTAATGTTATCACGTGTTCTCAACAGGCACGACAGGATACAGCAGCATCGTTGTAGCCGTCACCATGTCAGTGGCGGTCGCAGCTACTGTAGTTGCCATGGCAGCCATCGTAGCTTGGAGAAGAAGCGCCTCCAAGCTGTCAGCATACAAGAGCCTACGCCTGAATATGGACTCGTAGATTTTTTTTCGAATATTTTTCTTTTATGCTTTTATCCTTCAGTTGAAATATATTAATCAGAGAACTTTTTAAAATAATTGCATTATCGTCATATTACCATTATCAATTTGTTCATATATTCTACATGTATCTAAAATTATTTGATACCTATTTTGGGCAATGATCTTCAAAGAACTTCTCTTTCGGCTTCATTTTGGATTATTTTAAGTATTGGAAGAAAATATTTAAAACGGCTGCAATAAGATATGAAATTATTAAATGTCTCAGATCGACTTTCTCGTGTTTGTTTTTTTAAATTGTATTTTATATACATTTGTTTTGTATCCGATTATAAGCTTGAAATAATTTTTAAGAAATCATTTATTAAAAGCTTACCCTTATAAACGAATATTATGCGAAGAATGATTATATTAATGATCTGCTTAAGTTTTACCTTGAATGTTTTCTCGTTGATTTTTCTTAATATTTTTATATTCACATAGATTACTGGTACGTACGTATTTTTCGCTAGCACCAATTTTGTATAATCATTTAATAAACATCTTTCTCAAGAAATATTGTTTGCTTTCTTTTTCCTATTCATGAGTTAGTTTTTGTTTGTCGCTACACGCAGTAGAACTCAAGCTATATCACGGCGGGCTTTGAATATTCGATTCTAAACCAGTGGTTGATAGCATGAGCAACGAACTGCGCCATTGTGGTACGACCACACACATTCAGCCCTGTGACACAGCCTTACCAGCCAGTCTCGTGTACGTGTAATATCTCCTACTGCATAAAGACCCACGTGGATAGTGGTTAGAGCGTCCACCCGGAGAGCGGAGGTCGGTGGTTTTATCCCCTGGCCGCGTACCAAAGTACGATTGTTAGTTCTTGTTGTTACCCTGCCTGGCGTTCGGCATTAAGTGATAAAACGAGGACTGGTCATCTTCCCGAGGTAAGGGAGTTAACTGACCATACACGTCCAGTTTCCACCTTGCCGAACTAGGCTGTAATTCCGGAGTTACATTTTATTACAAAATAGATCTTGATTATCGATCAGATCGTTTTGACTTGGCGCCGCTATTTGTTTGAAGCAAGTGCAGGTGATATGAGAGCTGGAATCTGATTGGTCAATAGGAGGGACATAGACGGGACATAACTCTTAATAGCCACTGGTGGCACTACGATCGAGACTGGAAATTCAAGCCTAGTTCGGACAGGTTAGAAACTGGACTTTTATAGTCAGTTAAGGCCCTTGCCTCGGGAAGATCCTCGGGAATCCATGTTAAACTGCGGCATGGTATCTCAGACTAGTCAGTGGGCTAGCTCTATCAAATCGGCAGGTACGGACTAATACAAACGCACGCACACGCGCACACACAGGCCATACCCCACCTGTACTGAATAAAGACTGAAAAGTGTATTCACATAAAACTACTGAACTGGGGTCTTGGAATTAGCCAATGGGGTAAATGTCTGCTACACTTTGGAATTCGGATTATTCCTGTGTGGCGTGTCACATTTAGTCAGCCCATGCATGGACTTGCCTGATATTAAAGCAATGTGAGCAGGAGGTCACGCGAGAAAGCGCCGTGTGTAAAGCGAGAGTTCATTGGTCTGAGTACTAACTCTCGCTGTCACTTGATTTGTTGGTTATAAATAGAAAACTCGCTGCAAAGTACCCGGATGTAGTCACGAGTGGCGAAACAACGTAGTTTATCATACCTCCATGTTAGAATGATGTGATCTTGATAAAATACTTTATCATTCCTCCACGTCAGAATGACGAGTTCTGATTGGCCCTTATTATCTTGATAAAATACTGTGTAACCCGCCTTGGAGGGGAATACATTTCTTAGCGGGCGATAAATCTCGTATAACCCGCAAGGGGCAATGCAGGCTGCACGTGTATTTCTGAGAACAGTATAAATCCCGAATTATCCGCTTAAAAGCAAAAAGCCGCACGCGTTTACCCCCGAGTCAATGGAAGTCACGTGACATAGCACAAGTTGACCTCAGCTCAGTCGAACAGCTGTTTTCTATCAATTTTGAATTTGTGTTAATTCTTTTCCAATGTCACATTAAAATATGTCGGTAAGATAAATTCGTTGCAAAAGGATCACTCGGGGCACATTGGTTTTTTATACCAAACTCGGGACGCATAAAACAGAGTGATCCTGCTACAACTTATAATGTACCCCGCCTTGCAGGGAAATAAATTTTTCAGCGGGAAATATATATCCTTTAAATACCGCCACGAACAAAACAGGCTGCACGTGGATTTCTGAGAGGCGGAATAAATTCCTTATACCCCACTTCAAAGCAAAAAGCCACACGTTTTTTTCCGAGTCAATGAAAGTCACGTGAATTTGTTTTAATTCATTTACAATGTCATATTAAGACATCGTTGTTGCAGGGTCACTCGGGGTACATGGGGTTTTATGCGTTCCTCGTTAGGTTTATACCACTCACCTCCGGCACGCGGTATAAAACCTTATGCTGGACGCATAAACCCCATCTACCCCTCGCGATCCTGCTACAACTTATAGTATACATGCCCGTATAAGTATTGGCGCCGTGGAGGGGTAGATGGTGAGAGAAACGTTGAGATATGGAGACACAGACTACGTGATCCCGATCCCATCATTGGGTTGGGATATGGAGACATATACTACATGATCCAGATCCCATCATTGGGTTGGTCTTCTCGTGTACTCTATCTCATTACTCAGACGCCATTGTTGGTTTTGTTTATTAATGCATTTTACAAGGGCGCGATAGTGTGGATCTATTCCACGTCATAACCCATCCCCTACCTGACCTTCACCCCGCCCCCGGCCGTATATGACGGTCCTATCCCATTTGTCAGACAGGTCAACAGGGAAGGGCTGTGGTGAATAGCTTGTCCACCTAATGTTACAATGGATCAGCCCAGATTCGCTTAGAGAATCTCAGTTAACACGCCGTTTTATTCATATCTTAAATCATTGGTATAATTTTGCCATATCATATTAAAAGATTTATATCATAAACTGAAAGCCAAAAGAAACTTTATCACAGTTTTAAATCACTCCAGTTAAAAAAACACAAAAGATAGATGCGTGTATAGAAGATAGAAGATAGAAGTAAATGTATTAAAAAGATCAAAATCTCAACGAAATCAACATTTAAAATGGCAGTCATACAGCATCCGATATTGGCATGACAGTTGCCCGAATTGTGTGGGGTAGCAAAAGCAAGCTGTCAACGTAGCTGACAAAGAACACGCATCTAAAATCGCTCAAGTTCAATGATACGTCACATTAATAGCGTATATGACCACTCCCTGCTACAAGACACGCTGAAACCTTCTGCGGCACAGAAAATGTCTGATGACGTCACGTGGGATCCGTCGCCATTCTTCTTGGAGGGCCTGGATCAGTTCTTGTCGGTTGGCGAGAGGATGTGGTCGCTGACGAACACGACGAGCCATGGCATTCCAGAGGTGTTCTATGGGGGACATGTCTGGGGAGCGTGCAGGCCACAGCAGCACGTTGACGTACGATTCGGGCTGTTTGGGGTCTGGCGTTCTCTTGCTGATAAAGGACACTATGTGGAAGCTGTGAAATGGTAGGACAATCGGAAAAAGAATGCCATCTTTGTAACGCCGAGATGTCAAATTTCCGTTAACGATGATCAGTAGTGTTCTCTCCTGTCAACAAATTCCTCCCCACACCATAACACCCCCATCAACCATACGGCACGACCACCTGAATGCAACTTGCCGCCGTTCGTTCTCGGTAAACACGCCGTCTTCCATCAGCTCTGAACAGACAGAAGTGGCTTTTATGAGTAAAGACAACCCTCTGCCAATCACGTCGCTGCCAACCACGTACAGTCCAGACCCAATCTCAATCTCTGACAACGATGTCCTCAATGTTAATAACTGTCCTCTGTAAGGTCTGTAAGCCCTAATTTCCTGAGCCCTGTGTCGCCTGGCCACTGCCTGTCGACTAACCGTATACCCTGAGGCATTCGTCTCTGTAAGGAATCGATTCCGGAGATGCAAAGTACGCAAGTACCGATCTTCATTGGGCGTAGTTACCCTGTGTCTGCCTGTTCCTGGCCTGTTTGATGTCTGCCTGTTCTATCTGGAAGCGCTGTGGCATTGCTGTGGTAGTTGTTTATCAGTGTGAGTGTATGACATGACGTCCGTATCATTTATATACTCTTATTGCATGTGTAGGTTTTTTTCCACTTTTTCGAATTTTCTAAAACAAAACAAAAACCGTGCCCTGGACGTGTATCACTTTCTGCATAGAGCATTGTTGGGTTTGGACAATATCTTTTGCATTGACTTACTTTGAACTTGTATTGTTTATTTTTTTGCAATTTCATTTTTATAGGGGAAGAGTTACTTTTAGCCGTCAGTTTACTTTCAAATAACGGCCCTTTTTAAATATATTTTTATCTGCTTAACACTTTCAATTACAAATATATCTGTATATTTTGTAAAAATATATCCGAGCCTAATAGAACTTTTAGACTAAACTTATATTAATAATAAAAATAATTCACTAGATAACCCAATGGTTGAATAAGATTGAGTTAAAGTTTAGGTTAATGCTCGTTTTTATATTAAATTGACCTTTATTAGATGATCAAACAGGTTATATTTACCAAAGAATTTACTTTGACAAGAAATTGAGAACACTCACAGAAAGGAACTAAATATTAAATATATAATAATGTTCGGATATTCCGGAGCCATTCACGATGTCACAGTCCCATCAACCCTTAGGTCTGAAGTAGTCACACTTGACTGTCCCTTGAAGTACGGCGTCCCCCGGATGAAGTTTGGGAAGATGAGGGTGTCAGGCCATGACAGTACCTATGAGTGTCAGTGTGGCTCTCAGTACGAACTAACACCGCGACAAAAGAAAGTATACACCCCTGCTTGATGGTGGTGGTGAACCATTATCAAACAAGAAATGGTTATTCGATGGTTACGGTGGCCCATAAGGGACATGGAGTCTGTTTTTCAATATTTTGATGTTTCACTTACTGCCGTATCGAAACCTTTTTCAAATTAACACGATTTGTCATACAAAAATGTGATAAATCGTGTATAAAAACAACCGAAAACATGGAATTGTGTTAATTTGCAAAAGGTTACGATAAAAGTAAGTGAAATATCAAAATATTGAAAAACAGACTCCATGTCCCTTATGGGCCACCGTAGATGGTGATGTATTTCACACGGGTATCATGGTTGTGTTTTAGACCTTAAGTTTTCAGTGTTTCCGTAACTGATTTTAGTCGAGTAACATTTTGATAACGTTGTTTTGGCAAATCTTTTTGTCAAGTGTATACTTTCTTTTGCCCGAGAGTATAGAATACGTTCACAGCTATTTGTTCGTGTCATATCGCTGTAACTATTATCAATTATATATAGGACAACAATTATTCGTATCATTACGTATTTTTTATAATCGTTTCATATTGAAATTGTCAATTGTAATAATATATATTTTATGCGAGAGTGGGGTTAGGCTTAGCGCACCTGTGGCGGATCTAGGTCTTAAAGAAGGACACAATAATGCTTCCTTGTCTGTGCATATACAGTGACTACAAGAAAGGGACGGTGGGTAGCTTTGTGACCGACACGTCGCTCTTCACACCGAGACCTGGGTTCGATTCCTCACGTGGGTACAATGTGTGTATCCCATCATGGCTGTCTGCCGCGATATGGATAGATTATTGCTAAAAGCGGCGTAAAACAAAACTCGCTCATATTTTCTCTATTACGAGCTGGGTATTCAGGTAAGGTTTTAAAGAAAAAAAGAGTGAGGTTGCTTGGTTTAACGCCGCTTTTAACAGTATTTCAGTTATTCACGCGCGTGAGCCTTGTTTTTGACGCAAGCCTGTGATGACGTCACGTGGTATCTAATAAGGACCGGTTTAGTTACAGTTTATGATTATTCCTCGTTATACAGTAAACTACGTTTATAACGAACACGCTTATAACGAACTGACGGATATAACGAACCTACTTTTTTGTCCCGACTATTTGCTGTCGTTATGCTGTTGATATGCTTATAACGAACTACGGTTATAACGAACTAAAATTAGAGGTCCCTTTGAGTTCGTTATAACCGTAGCTTATTGTATTTTAATACCATATACAGTAAACTATGGTTATAACGAACACGCTTATAACGAACTGACGGATATAACGAACTTACTTTTTTGGTTCCGACTATTTGTTGTGGTTATGCTGTGTATATGCTTATAACGAATTACGGTTATAACGAACTAACATTAGTAGTCCCTTTGAGTTAGTTATAACCGTAGTTTACAGTACATACCAAACTAACGCGTCCCTTCTTGTCACTTCTGATATCTGATGGGGGCACGGGTGGCCCAGTCGTCTTAGGCGCCGCAATTCGCTGTGCAGAGTTGCGTCCCTTGCACACGCCAGAAACCTATGATTGTGTCCCGATTATGTTTCTAGGTTTGTCAGCACCATACCCGTGCTCGTGGGGTTCACCGAAGTGGTAAAGGTCTATCATGAATTATAAGTAGGCATTTTAGTGACGCTCCAATCATTTGTGTGCATCGCCTTGCTTGCGCGCATTGTATGCCAAGGGAGATAATAAAATGCCGCGTTTCGAGAAGCATGGGTGACGTCGTGTTGCCAGAGCGTGTATCGTGTATGACGATATTACAATATGGACCGGGTCTAAAACTAAGTCAACTAAAATGTCCGTGCTCAGAGTAAATACGGTACTCACGTTCAAAACACCACGATTTTAAGTTGAATGCCTCGTCAATTATGTTCTTTAAAGTATGTACAACTGAGATACTTAATTATGCGATCGTTTCAAACCAGATTATGAATGTTTGTCAACACCATACCGAGCTCATAAATATCACTAAATTGGTAAACGTCTAGGACGTGCATGACTTCGGTTTTGGCAGCTGATTGACATACATCAACCAAGTCAGCGAGCCTGACCACCCGATCCCGTTAGTCTCCTCATACGACAAGCATAGTCGCCTTTTAGGGCAAGCGTGGTTTGCTGGAGACCTTTTCTACCCCGGAACTTCACGGGTCTAACTTGTATGTTGTGCATTGGTCAGAGATGAAACCTTAATGAAATGGAAATAATAAGGTTTATAAATAGATGAAATGTTGATTGCGGCTTGGCATAATATTCACTCACACACGTGTGGGGTATATATATATGCGTTCGAGCATGTGCGTGTAAAAAGATATTGTAACCATTCCCAAATGGGTATGTGTTATTTTTAAAGGAAACAACCACTTTCGGATGCCGGCTGCCGGGCCTATCTAAGTGGTATTCCGGATGCCGCAGTGTATTACGCTGGGTGCCATCAAATGTTTATCTGGTACGCGGATGCTAACATTGAAATATATTATCGTCTCTTTTTCCCTTTCAAATCAAGAAAATATTCAGCCCTCTGCTTATGAGCTCGCACGATCATAAATTCTATATATCATCCTTGTCTAATTAACTTGTACCAGCTGTGTTCACTGACATGATACAAGAGTTCAATAATTGGATGCCAAGACAAATTAGAAATGAAGAGCACATGGGCACCTCAATTTTTGGCACCTTCATTTAGAAAACCATTCCCCCAAACTGTAGGTTTTTTTTAAATAATGAAAACTAATAATAATATCACACCTTCCGCAGTAATAGGACTGCCCCGTTCAAAACGGTATATCTTATACGTGAGGAGTACAAGTGCCAGTATTTCAGAAAATTAAGATTCAAAGTGCGCGTGTATACATTTTAGCGGCTGGGGGTATGCTTAATACACGAGAGTGCTCTCCCTTAGAATGGAGAGCGGACGAAGTATTTTGTTTGAGAAAACGTTTACAGTATGTAGTGCGTGATGGTAAGTTCCATGTTGTTTTGAAACAATGTCCAACCAGTCTTGCATGAAACAGAGAAAGACGATTATACTCAGTGATTCTGACAGTGATTCTGAGGAAAAAAGAGCGGGAAGTAAGTGGTTCATCTTGATAGACCAAAGTGGCCTTGCTACATGCTGATGTAGCGGCCATAAAATTTCCGAGTCCCGTGGTGGGATTCGAAGCACGGACCTTCTGGCGCCTTGTCCACATGACTAAAGAGTTTAATCCCGCGAGCAAGCAGACGAGATAGGGATAACTTTGTGGGATGAGTCCATGCCCCCGCCCCACTGACATTGACAATAGTAGTAGCTAACACTGAACAGAAGACTGTAGGCCTACTTCAGAAGTCACCATGTAGCTTTAAGTTTCAACAAGATTGTCGGGGAGGTGTTTCCAAACTGCCTGGATGGAGACTCAATATAAATTACGCAGTCACCATGGTCACAACTTTGTGAACCTACAAGGAAAACCTATGTTTGCAAGTTACAACAGATTGTGTTTTTCTCTGCCAAACATGCCAAAAGGGTGTTATGTTATTTGTCCCTATCTGTATGTGCACAGACCCCACTCCTGGTTGTAGTGTGTAGGTGGGAGGAGTGGGCTGTGCTGACTGGTGGGGATGTGAAGCCGCCTGTGACCGCGCTGCACGGGATCCGACTGTAGGCTTTTCGCACCAGTCTACAATTATTTTTACAAAGAAGGAGTGACTGTATTGGCCCTTGGTGGCCTGTTACACTTGATATTCTCTTGAGTGATTGGCGGTATATTGCTCAACAAAGTTACTGGGATGTGAAACCTGCAAACATTGTGGCCTTAACATGCCGTTTGGGTGGCTGCGCTGTTAGGTGATTCTGTGGTTGGATTGTTGGCACCATGCCTTCACCCTCTTTGTATAAGAAGAGAAGTCTATTATTTTGCCACAGTTTTGTACAGTTTTAATAATGTGTCAACTGTGCTAATAATGGACCACTATCAATCACATTTTCAGAGCTTAATCAGTTTCGTATGTAAACAAACATGTCATTTGACTATCAGTTAGGGTGGCCTCTTCCCCGTGCGGCAATTCAATTCCCATAACTCTGTGTAGAAATTCAGTTTGGCCTGTTTTTACATTTTTTCCCCCTTTTTCGTATCAAAAGAGTATTAATTTGCATGAAGAAAGACACAAATAGTATCATACATTCATAATGTTTGTATTAGTGTACTTTTGAAAAAAATATTAACAGTAATCTTGACTTAGAAAGGGAAAATGTTAAAAAAACGATGCAAAACAGTAGGGTATTTTCAATTGGCAACTGCAAACTTCATGTGATGAATTTTGTAATAAAACTTATATCATTAGAATCACAAATGCACAAGGAATACTATAACGCACCGTAACGCGATGTTTTTCCCCAACTTCCATGCGTAACGCGGTGGCGAAAAAATATCAAAAGCAGGAGAAATGTGTTGGAATTGGTGGGCAAGCCGTTCGCGTGCGTTCAAGGGAGATAACCGAGTGCGGCTTATTTACCATCAGCTGCCAAGAAGAAGAAGCGCCAATAAAATATACACCTATAAGTACATCGTCATTATTAAGCGTAATACAATGTTGCCTTCAACCAAAAAGACATTGGAGAGAGAATAAGGAAATTCTCAAGAGCTTTGACTGTCTTAGGTATCCAAGAAAAGACTTTTCGTCACATTTTGAGAGCTCCTTAACCGGATGTGCAGACCACTTGAGAGTTCTTCGACCGGATCAGCTGACTACATGTGCCTAATGTCAGGTCTCATCGTATTGTCAACGCAAGTTACACCATGTGAATTAATTATGGTAATTCCTACAAATACAATCGTGATCTTTGCTGTAACACACAGGAAATGTTATGTAATGAGAATGTCGGGCAGGTGTTCTGTTCATGTAATAAACTTGTCAGTGTCACCAAGTTGTTTATACAGTGATTTATGGCACCTCATTAAAAAATCAAAGCCAGCATTTCCTCGAACCCACGAATTTTGCACGAGAATTTTTAGTTGTTTATACAGGGAATTATGGCATTTTCTTGAATCCATGAATTATGTATGACAATTTTGATAACATGAGAATCGCAAATGCTTACGGAACACTGTAACGCAGTGGCGAAAAAAAAGGAGAAATGTGTTGGAATTGAGACAGCAAATTTCAATATATTAAAACAAGATAACGCGGTTGGTTTCCGTGGATATCGCCTGACAAACATGTAAATGGGATTTTATTATATATAAATCTGCCGCCACACAATTGAATCGAAAATTACATTCCCCAAGAAAATACATTTTCAGAAAAGATCGAAAGCAGGAGAAATATGTTGGAAATTGGGGGAACATGTGTTATTTTATTAGCGATTTTAATTGTGAACTGGTGAAAGCATATATATGTGTGTGTGATGTCGATACTCACCTCAATGTTCCCTTCCGCTACTTTATTATGTGGCGAAACGGTACGGAATAATTCGAGCATGCGAAAGACGTTCGTGGGATGTTAGTCATGTCAGTCGGCATTTGTCACCTTGAGTTATCGGCACGGACACGTTGTTTAATGCCAGAATATATACATGAGAAATCTTTGTCACATGTGGTAACCAAGCACGATATGTCCACGAAGTTCAATATTTTTAACACCCGCGCGATTTCCATCTGAAAAACGGTACCCATTGTTGTAATCTGACCAACCATGATCCGGCAAAAGGATGACGGACAAAAAGCTAATTTCCGGCGCAGTGGTGACGTGGCATTACACCTAATTTGCATATCATGTGACACAACATTTCGTAAACAAATTATTTACCAAAACTATTTAGACTGTATTGCTACTGGCTATAAATTATCGCCAACTCCCCGTTGTCGCACGGGATATCATTTTAATTTTGCTCGTTTTCATTGGAAGAGAGAAAGATTTATCCGAAAATGACAAAACACTTGTGAGGAAATATTTTTTTAAAAAAACCCACAATAATCGCCAAGCCCGAATACAGCTTTATCAAAGACATGTGGGCCATCGCGACTTATTCACTCGAAAATAAAAAACAAAACACAATGACGCACTTCCGTTCTGGCACTGCTTTCTATCGGTCAGTCATTTCTTTCTCAAAATACAATTCTGAAACCTATTTGAGCTGTACGTGGCATGTGTATATATCGAAATCCATAGTACATATGATAGCATGTAGAGATCGAATATGGGGAATATTGGTTTGCAGACGACAAATTTGTAATGTCATTTGTATAACTGAAGCGTATATGCGTGATCACGTGGCACGTGCTGTCAAGACGACGGGAAAGTTATACACGTTATAACAGAGATCAACTAAATCATTTTTCACGAACTGAAATCACGGAGTGACAGAAATTAAAAAAAAAACTGGCGATAACTGGTCGGTAACCAGTAGCTCTATCATGTCTACAATGAGGTCATGGGACAACGTAAAAGTGATCTGTGTGCTGTGTATGTATTGAAATGTTCTGTAATGAGCATGTCGGGCAGGTGGTTCTGTTTATGTAATAATAAACTTATCGGAAGTTGTTATCATGGTTATACAGGGATTTATGGCATTTCCTTGAATCTACGAATTTGATAACATTAGAATCGCAAATGCTTACGGAACGCTATAACGCAGTTGTTTTTAACTATTTTCGCCACCTTCCATGCGTAACGCGGTGGCGAAAAATATTTAAAACGCAGGAGAAATGTGTTGGAATTGTGACAGCAGATTTCAATATTTTAAACCATGATAACCATGATGGTTTCCAAGGGTATCGCCTGACAAATATGTATGTGTGGTTTTATTATACATATGAATAGACAACAGTCGTCAAAAACGGCGATTACAAGAATAAATGGCTTTCATTTTCAGAAAAGATAAAAAGCAGGAGAAATATGTTGGAAATGGGGGGACATGTGGTATTGTATTAGCGATTTTAATTGTGACAGCATATATGTGTGTGTGATGGCGATGTTCACCTCAATGTTCCGTATCGCCAGTGCATTATGCAAATGCTTACACCATGTACACAAATGAACACGGTTGTTTTCGACTATTTTCGCCAATCTCCATGCGTAACGCGGTGGTGAAAAAAGATCAAAAGCAGGAAAAATGTGTTGGGATTTGGGGGCATGTGGAATTTTAATAGCAATCAAAATAATTGTGACAGCAGATTCAAATATTTAGAACCACGATAACGCGGTTGATTACCATGCGTAAAGCATTACCAATATGGATCTGGGGTTATATTATATATGAATCTGCCGCCACACAATTGAAATCGATAATAAAATCCCGACTGTCCTCATTGGATAAATGAAGCTTAAATATACGATTAGCAAGCATTAAAAACCAACGTGTTGCGCATATGTCTATTACCCTTTCAACTGGTGGTTCTTTAAGGGAACACCAGTTGAAAAGGGTAAAAGACATATGCCTGGCGAATCATATTTGCATTACCAGTGGTGCTAAGCGCTTGCGGGCCTCTGTTATAAGGCGCCGAGACGGCGACAATTTAACGAACTTGTGGTAAAAATAGTTTCACGGAGTTTTTGCTCAGTTTAGTTACTGCATAAAACATTATGAAATCGGGTAAGTCGAAGTGAAACGGCGATTTCCGTGGCGAAAAAAGATATAAAAAACCCAGGAGAAATCTGTTGGAATTGATGTGCATGTGGATTCAAGCAATTGAGATACGATGACATGCCAGCAGCCCATGCTTGCCGTAAAAGGTGACCATGCTTGTAAAAGGCGACCAACGGGATCGGGTGTCCAGGCTCGCTGACTTGGTTGATGCATGTCATCGATCCCAATTGCGTGGATCGATGCTCATGATATTAATCGCTGGGTTGTCTGGTCCAGACTCGATTATTTTACAGACCGCCGTCATATAGCTAGAATATTGCTGGGTGCGGCGATAAACAACGAACAAACAAACGATGACATGCATCAACAAAGTCAGCGACCCTGACTTGGTTGATGCATGTCATCAATCCCAATTGCGTGGATCGATGCTCAATATGTCAATCACAGGACTGTCTGGTCCAGACTAGATTAATTACAGACCGCCGTCATATAGCTGGAATATTGC